GACATCTCTGAGTTCTCTCCTTCAGTCATGCATGTGTTGTTTCCACAGAGCTGCAGGACTTTACGTTGCAGACAAACATGAGTTAAAACGTGCTGTTTGGGATTCAGAGGGTTAAAGCGACGCTGTCAGGAGTTTCTCCTGCATCAGCGTCTGCTGAAGGCTGCAGCGACCGGAGTTTTCCTCCAAACCGAGCGTTCAGCAGCTCTCGGCCTCGTTTCCAGCTAAACGCAGCACGACACCGATTTGTCGGCGTCACGGTCGAACACGAATCCTCCTCCTCCTGCTTCCACAGCACAAGCTCGCCGTGTGACCGGCACAGATGGAAAATGTTTGCCGCTGTGAGCGAGCTGCACCGGTAATTAGCTTAATTTATGTCTTCCTTTAGTCATCTGACACTCAAATTAGATATCGCTGCGGACGAACTTGGTCGTAATGAGACTGTGAGACGAGCGTGTGACGGTCGGAGGGAAGCAGATGTGACTCTGTGAAGACGTTCATCGTTCTGAGGTGGACGGTCGGCCGCTGGAGAGGCTTTAACCGTCTTTTACATGATCACAGAAATGACCAGAAACCGTAAAAACTGGGAGGAAATGTCAGATTTAAACTATTTTAACCACCTGATGAGCAGTTCTGCTGCAAATAAAAGCTTCAAATGGTGGTATTTCATTAATTTACTTTATTCTACACGTCTCATATAAAAACCCACAAAAAAAAACAATCTGCAGATTCTGTGAAAAACAAAAAATTCTGCGTTTCTCAGAGCTTCTGTGAAGTCATGACCGACTCCGTTATGACCAACAGTCAGGTGACTAAAAATCTGATATTTTTCAGGTAATTAGCTGCAGTTGTTTTATTTATTTTGACGCCTTTAATCACAGCGTGAGTTGTTGCTGTTCTGCAGAGACCTTAATGCACTTCACATCCATCGCCTCCTCCTGCCTTCATGCCTCTTAGCTGCTCTGCTCCATCCCTCCTCTGCACATTAAGCTGCTCAGACTCCAGGTTCTCACCTTACACTCGGGACACTTCTGGGCGTTCCTCTGGCCGTGCTCGATGACGCTCGCCCACGTCCGCAGCAGCTTGTCTCCTTTCCTGTAGTCGCGGCATTTCAGGCCGTTGTGCCACGGAGCGTGGCATTTAAAGCACCACACAAACTGGCAGCTGCTGCACTGGATCTGAGGGAACACACAGGTCAGGTCGGGTTTATTAATACACACCTACATTAATATACACCACCATCACAACGAAATGAAACAAAGTCACCACAAAAAGACACAAAAACAGCATAAAAAGACACAAAATCACAACAAAAGGAAAGAAAATCACTAAAAAAAGACAAAAATCACGAAAAAAAGAAACAAAATCTGCATAAAAAGACAAAAAATCACCACAAAAAGACACAAAAGCACCAAAAAAAGACAAAAATCACAAGAAAACGAAACCATATCTCCATAAAAAAGAGTCCAAATCATCAAAAAGCTTCAATAATCAAAACAAGATGTGATATGAGACGAGACGTCATCAGAACTTCTTATCAGAGTCGAGCTCAGGTGAAGCTGAGCGTCAACACAACATCTGATTGAAACCAGAAGACTGATCCAGGATCTGGAGTCAACGTTATCGTTCATCCACCGGCCTCGATGCTGCACTCGTTCTGAGGATTTTAAAGGTCCGGAGGTCGAGTCAGAGCGGAGACGAGTCAAACACGAGTCGATCCATTTCCCCCACAGCGGTCCTCTGATCACAGGAACGTGAGCAGACAAGCCGACCCGAGCCGAGCCACGCCGGCTGAACTCTCCTGACCCCCAGATTAAACCGTCTGAGGAGCGGCTCCACAAAACAGCTCAAAGTCCGGCTTTTTGTGGAGGTTCAATGATTAACTCGCTTCAGTTTTAAGACAAAACTCATCACGGCTTCCATCAGGAGAGAAGCTTCAGGACGGATCCAGGTTTTAGGGGAACATGTTGTCCACGAAAACCTGCTGGAGAGTCTGTCCACCTATCTGACTACATCATTTGATTTTCATCCATTTTAGGAACGTGTCCGTGTGGACGGATCAGCAGCAGCCTCCAAATAGTTTAATATGCTGCAAAAAAACAGCTTTTTACAAAGATGTAGAATTCACCGAGGCTATGAGGCGACGCAAATGAAGAACACACATAAAATCTGCACGAAAAAGATGTGAAATCGCCACAAAACTCACAAAACAAACCACGAAAGGCTGCAAAACAAGACACAAGATCATCTCAGAGTCAAAACCAGCACAAAGAGATGCAAGAACACCTAAAAATGAAGCAAAAAGATGCAAAATCAGCATAAAACAAGGGAAAAAAACTAAGCAAAAAGACCCAAAATGTGCATAAAATGAGGCAAAATCATCACAATAATGTGAAAGATCCCTACAAAGAGTCCAACCAGCACAAAAAGGTGCAAAAACACCATAAAATGAGGCAAAAAGCTGCAAAATCAGCACAAACACA